GATTGCTCCAATATTATTTGGGCTGGTTTTACTGAATTTTGACTTGATTTTTCAAAATCAACTGTGACAGAAGATCTTTCCAGGGTATACTCCAGCCGCCATCTGCCCTCAGACTACTGCAACCCTGTTAGATGAAACAGGCGAAGATAGATGCAATTGATTTATTTGGTCAGAGGCTATTGCTTTGATGTTATTTTTAATATGAAGGATTTCTTTCTAAGGACATATGTAGCAGGCTATTTGGTCTAGAGCTCTTAGACTGATGGCATTTGTCCAAAGCTTTTTCTTTTGTTTTCTGATATTTGATTTTTTTTTCTTTGTTCATATGTTGTTTATCTGGGTGTCTGACAATGCTTCCCTAAGACCTGAAGACTTGATTCTAATCATTCTGCAGATTCAACAAAAGAGGAATAAAAATAACTCTTTAAGAGTTGTTTTAAATAGTGTTTGTAGTGATGATCAGCCGTCTGCTTTCCCTGGTCCAAAAACTGTGCAGGAGTCTTTAGTTCATCTTTCAACAGCAGAGAAAAAATCTAAGCAGAGGTCCTGTATAGTGAGGCCCTGCTTGTTGAGAGACATGTTCTTCTAGAGGCAACATCAGACTGCTTTCTCCACAATGTGATGTCTACGGTAGGGTCACAAAAAAAAAATCCCTGCTGAATTCTCTCATAAAAAATTAAGAGTGTAAACCACATGTGGTTCCAATCTGTCACCCCCACAAACAGCTATATCTATGCCCCAGCAGCATCGCCTTTGTGTGATGTGGTGAAAGGGTGACCAGGGACTGTAGCCACCACATCTGCAGGCCCAATGGGAAACAATAGGGGTGTGAAAATGAGCGACAGACATCTTACCGCACATACCGCAGGCACCTATAAATGGAAAAAATATCATATGGCACAAGCAGACACAAATTCTGACTCTGCGGGTACCTCTCTCTCATACACAAGACTCACACAATAAAAAATGTTCATAATATAAGAGATACAGAAACCAAGTTTTCAGACTGTGAAACTCTAATGCACAGAGAAGTCTGAAAAACATTTAAGCGCCGTTTCTCTCATTTCATTTTGTGGCCATTTATTTGCTCTGAAAATATCTGCACGTCACAGCACCAGCCGACACAATGCACATGTGGTAGTCATCAATCATAATTATCATGGTTTAAAAAAGCCACAGCTGTTATTTGATTTTAAAAACAAGCCATAGCACAGTGCCTTCCAACGATACGTCAAGTTGTCAGCAGAGGCCTTGGCCTGCACAGCAGAAACGTCTCTCTCGAGCTTCCCAATGAGCTTGCTGGAGTGCACAGCCAAGCTGAGCTGCATTCAACCTTTCCTCATGACTCACCAGCCTGTGTCTTTATTTTTAAACCTTTCCTCTCTCACTCTCTCTTTCATTGCATTTCTGCGTGCTTATTCTGTGTCAGAGCGGCCGCATTTACAGACTTCACACAACGTTTGTTTATGGCTTCTTTAATTAGGCCCAGATAACGAAGAGTTGTCTCCATCTGTGGGCACATCCCCTGTAACAGGCTGTATATGCCTGAATGCTGCGTTTGTGTGTATGTTTGTGTCAGTGCAGAAAGGCCCTAATGATCCTTTAAGGATGTTCTAATAAATATTTTACCAAATAGATTATTAGCACAAATAAAATGAACAGGATTATGGCGTGTACGTTTATTATTCCTGAGGCCACACACATTTTTGATTTGTTACATGTCACATAGTTTTTAATATGTCCACTCTCTGCCTTTTACTGCTTGGAAATGTTGTTTTCATTTAAGACTTGGATTTGTTAAAGTTGTTACAGTCTTTTAAATGTAATCCCATAAAAAAATAACCCTTTAGCATTAACAATGTAAAAGATTTATATACAGGATGTTCTGGAGATGAAAAGTTAGTATTGCCGAAGTAGTATAATCCCTGCCAAGTTTTAATTGTCATTCTCATTCAACTTTTTCAGAATCACCAGATTTGAATATATTTATTTGTATTTTATGTAAGAGGCCAACAGAAATTGCTTGATAGAAAAAGAACAATACCCATCATTTTTAATGTACTCCAAAAATTAGATCTTTATGGAATGGTTGGGGGAAGAAAACTGCTGTTTAGACTAGCCTTAAGCATTCCTACTTAGTGAAAAAAATGTAAAAATGAATGAATATGGAATGAATGAATGAATAAATGAATGAGTGAGGTGTTTCTTGTTATTTTCATGTTGTTGTCATCTTGAGGTAAGTATTTGAAAGTTACTTATAGATCCCGTTCAGATTGCTTTTTTGATTATATTTTTCCCTAATATGTGAGTAGCTGCATGGGGAAACAGATCAGTTTTGAAATAGAATAAAAAAAAATAATAAAAAAAGAAGCTTTCTAATATTCTTTGGAAGGTTGATAAGCATTCCCAACCTTAACGATTCTGGAAAGTTTTTTAGATCTCACTTCAAAAGAACCCAACAAATTACCAGGACCTTAGAGCCAGAGATTTGATTAGAACAGGTGTCTCTCATCACTAAAGTTGGATTCTTTTCACCAATATCTGGTGCCTGATTTTAATCTTAAAGGATTTTATTTCATTTTCCATTCTGTTAAAAGGGAAATAAAACATTGTTTGGTGAAATATACTGTATATAAAAAAGTGTATTATTTTGATGGCGTTTGCTTATTTTCTCCAGAATGATTGCTTTAATCAATAGACACATGGTCCATACAAAGATGATATACAACACGAAGAATTATTACAAAACAAAACAAAGACTTAAATATTATATGAGACTTGCACACCAGTGTTTCCACAGAGCTGACTTGTGTCTTAACGCACTGAGGGAGGGATGTGAAAACATTACAATAAGATTGTTAAATGAGCTGCTCAAATGACGCATAAATTTGTATATTAGATTTTTCACAAGTGCCTGTAATGTTCTCACATATGGGTTACCAAACATCTCACTTGCACTGCTGAACCTGTTTTTTTTTTTAAGAAGAATTCTCAATGAGACATTACAAACAACCTTAGAACCTCAGAATGGTTTTGAATTATAATAAAATAAAATTTTGATCATACATAAGTTTCGTTTTCCTGCTAAACTACATAACTGAGAATACAGCAGATATCTGATGAGGCAACAGTATTTTACGGTGCCTGGGGTTTTTGGACGCTTTTAAAGAGCTTGGATTAAATGTAGACAAAATGTTTCTGCTAACTTCTAAACATTTCTAAACCTTTGTTGATTTGTTTTTGTTTATGGATTTTTTTACTCTCTTTTGAATTTTCCATTCTCTCTTTGCATTATTCATCCATCCTTTTTGAAAGTGCATTCTATTATTGCACTAACCATGCTCTATATCATCTGTTTATAAGTATATGTTTGGTTAACAAGCAAAAAAAAATATGATGATGAACTTTATTTTGAAACACATACTAGTACCAAGTACTTGATACAGAAGCTTAAAGATTTACAGCATGTTGTTGTCATTAATTAGATGCACTTGTGGATGATATTTCCTACCTTAGCCTGGCTTGAAAGTATCAAAATAAAACATCTTGAATACACTGGTGAAGATTCTGACTCCTCCAGGTCATTGTTAATAAAAAAAAGTGAAAAAGCAATCCACCGTACTTTGGCTTCCCATCCAGGAAGCTTTTTTTAATTTCAATTTCAATTTTGAATTTAAAAAGCTTCCTGGATGGGAAGCAAAACACCTTTAAACTTAGAAACAAAGTCCAGTGGATTGTGTTTTAAACATCCTGAACCTTCTGGAGTCAGGGCATGTAACAGGAAATTACAATGCAAGAAAATCAGTATACCATTGTATCTTCATAAAAATGCAATAAATGTGAAAAATGTTCTTAAGGCTATACAATTCTTCATTTCCAAAATGTCATGGTAGAATGACATAACAAAGACTGGATGCTTATCAAAATTGGTGAGATCCCATTTTCACTGAATGGCCCAGATCCAGGTCCTCATCTGAAGTTGAATCTTAAACTCCTCAAACTGTGTGTAAATTACATACCCAAATGTTTAAACCACAGTTTTGCTTTTAAGAGATTTGCCCAGGCTCCTTTCAGGCTTGATGTAGATTGCGTCTGAGGGCAGATCCATTCAGCCTCTCCGTCAGCTTAGTTGATTCCACAAACAAATGGCAAGTGTGTCAAAACTCACAACTACGAAGGGCTTCCGAAAGCACAGTTTACACTTGCTAGCCCGGTGGTCTGGCTTTATGAGCAATGGTTAGTGTCATACGCATATGAAGGCACACACGCACAGAAATGGTTGACTCCTGGGGACTATAGCAAGAGCCCAAAGAGCTGTGAAAGCAAAAAAGCAATGACGCTACACCTTGCTTTCATTGCGTTTATCAGAGAGACGACCTTACATGACTGAGGCCATGGGGATTATATATGTTCTAATGCTAAAGTCTGAGTCATTCATTGGTCTTGACGTGTACAAATAAGGGCTTGTGTTTGCTCAAGGTTTGTCAGTATCTTTGCATCCTATACTTTACCCTCCTTTATCTTAATGCAGCTGCATTTACACTCAACATGCAACGTTCATTTCAATGTCAGTAAAGCATAGAAAGGGACTGTCTGCTAGAGCAATGAACAAAGAGAGAGGCTGGTGGTCTCTGGAGAAACCTGAGGGGGGAAAGAGGAAAAGTTTGAGAGGGGGAAGGAGAAAGAGTGAAGTAGATATAAGGGGAGCCTAAGGGGGTCAGATGTGAGCGAGAGGAGTGAGACATCTGGAAAAGAGAAAAAGTACACAGGACGAGGAGGAAATTACAGCTGCCCAACAGTGATTCATTGGGGAAAATTCTCCTCTGCATCTCCCTCTTCACCCTTTTGTCCTCCAACCTCTCTAACTAACCCTCTAACCTCTTTCCATCCTGCTCATGCTTCACAAGGCTGATTGCCAAGTGAAAACACATTTTAAAATGTATTGCTTTTTCACATCAGACAAATAAAAAATATCAATGCTTTCCCATTTCTGCCTCCAGGGACCTGAGTATGAACAACATCAGCGAGATTCAGCCCAGAGCCTTCCATCGACTGCACCTGTTATCAGAACTGTGAGTACAAAATCATTCAGCTCACACTTGGTTCATGAACCCCCTCTGTCAGAATTTACACCAGACAAGAAACAGCCATTTCCTGAGCAGTTGATATGAGCAGACCTTGGAGATGGGTTTGATGGTTCTGGCCTGCCTCTGATCTCTCCCACTATGAAAGCGCCTGCAGCAATGTGTTAGTAGCCTAGTAAGTTGAGATAGCTCTACAAAAGAGGAACAAAAGGGAACTGGATAGTCACTCAGAGAGGGAATGCAGTCCTTAAAATATTTATAGAGTAAGTCTAACTATCCAAGGTGCTGCTCTCTTTTTTTCCCCATTGGAGAATGTAGCAGGAGAAATACACTTGTAGACATGAGTTTGAGCCAAAATGGGCACATTATAGCTTGTAGTACTTTTAAAAGAATTTTAAAGAAAAAAGGACGCAAATGAGGTATATTTGTGCACTCTTGATGTGTCCTGCACATTTAAAAAATAAAACTGACATGATTTGGTTAACTAATCACTCTTTCTGTCTGATGAGTAGATGTAAAACAGTATAGTTGTGTTCTTACAAAGATTTCATCATTTTTTATGTTCAAAGATCTTCTATATACACAGCAATGCAAAATAACAAGAAAAGCTGGTGTTTCTGGTTTTTATAGGCGAGGGTTCTTTAAAATCAGTCTTTGGAAGCTATTACCAAGCAACTTTTAGATAAAGCTCAGCTCCAACTAATATGAAACAAATAATTTAACTACTTTTGCGTCTGTCCCGTAAATATAAGAAAAGCCTGGTAATAATCCATGCATTTGATTAAAGTTAGTTGGGACAGGGATACATCTTATAGGCTGCAGGACAGAGAAGCTCTAGAGGACTGGTCTTGGAAACCTTTGCTGAAAATAATTTACAGTTATCTAACACCTCAGAGCTGATTGGTAACATGGAAGTGGATTGGACTTTTTTGTACCATGTTAAATATCTAGACAGGATAGTCATTAATCCATTCGAACAAATTTTATAAATGGGGTTCCTCAAGGCTCAGTTTCTGGGACTCTTTCTATTTCATTTACATGCTCTTACATGCTCCCATAGATACAAAACAAAATCCTCTCATACATACACTTATGAGACACAGCTTAGTAATTCTTCCCGTATGACCAAAGTTCCTTACAGTCACTGAGTAGATTTGTTCAAAATACTAATAATTGATTGGACCTGTATTTTCTTTTGCATAATCAGAAAATTGTTGAGTTTCTTTGAAGTTTTTAAATCTCCACTCAGCTAGTCTCTGAAACAGTGAGTCATACAAAAAAAAACCAAGGTGGTGTTATATGGTTTTACATTTAACCATAGTGCAAAGCAGTATTAGGCTACTTCATCAGTCTATAATATGGCTGCAAGATCACCAGAAACTATTACCCTTTAAATCAAAAGATGGAAAACAAGTGTACACTTTTCTTTACAGTGGTTCAATTATGGTTCACAAAGGTCTCATCAGTTGCTGCACCTCATTAAAATGCTGCTGCCAAAACCTTTACCAACAACAGGAAAATTGATATCATATCAGAATGTCAAAATCAATTCAACACAATTCAGTTTATTTCTATAGCGCCAATTCACTACACATGTCATCTCAAGACACTTTACCGTTCACCAGATCATCCAGTCCAATTGATTCAAAGGTTTCTATCCAAGGAAAACCAGTTAATTAAGCATTCTTGTAGCGACAGTGGAGAGGAAAAACTCCCTTTTAACAGGAAGAAAACTCCAGCAGAACCAGGCTCAGTTTGAGTCCGACTGGGGTTCAAGGAATTAGAAGCAGAGATAAAAAAAAAAATAATGTAAAAGGCGACCCTTTCAGGAAACACACAGCCAGGCAGACGATCTCAGAGTCAACTTCCATGTCAGAGGATGAAGAGACCATATCCAGCCAGTCACGGTCAGAGAAACAGGACTACATTGGAAAACAGGCCGATCTTCAACATCTAAACAAAGGTGTTGATGGCAGCAGCACAGCTGCAATCCTGCTTTATATCTAGAAGGCACTTACTGGTCTTGGGTTTTACTCCATTTTAATGGTTCTTGTCACATTTTAAACCTTTGGAGTTGGATACTACAGTATGCCTAGAACCTACATAAGCGTTCCTGCAAGAAAGAGCTAAACACAGAGGGGTGTAGAAACCTATGATTCCTTTAAACCAGAATTAAAACATGTCGATTGTCTTTCACATCTTTTGTTTAGTATACTAGGAATCAGGGGATGAGTTTGTTGACAAAACACTTCGAAATGGTTCTTTTTCTTTTCAAAGAAAGGAAACAGAGGACAAAATTCTTTATTTTGAACTGCAGGAACATTTTCAATCTGTTTGTTGGTCAGGTGTGTCCAAACACAAAAACCAACTGAAATGCATGAAACAAATGCTGTGTTCTGAGATGGTAAAAAAAAAAAAAAAAAAATTAAATTATATCATTATTGTGTTTCTGGGGGAATTGTTAGGCAACTTTTGTTAAGAAATATATTGAGTGATCTTGAGAAGATATCTTGTCTCATGGGTCTTGATGCTTGATAAAAAAAGAAAAACCCTTCCCCTGCTTTAATAGTTTGATTACTGTACCAACACCTACAGGGCAGCATGTGCGTGGCTATAGGAACGGATTTGAATCAAGATTGCCACAGACACCAGTAAGTTTTGTTGAAATGAGATCAAACCACTGTTGTATTTTAACTGAAACACACAGATGCCACCTTCTTCATTTAATATAATGCAATTTAGTTTGTGCTTTTTGAAAAACAAGAAACTCAATGGAAAAAAGTCAAAGAAGAGAGATTTAAAAAAAAAATTTTTTTTGAAAACAGACTCTGTTGGCATTGCAGACATTTGACTAGAACAGTTAGCAAATCAAATCTAAGTTCCTAGTTTATAAAAAACAACCTGTAAATGTTCCCTTGGGCTGCGAAAATGAGCAATTCACTCTACTTCACTTCTACTTTTTATTTCCTCTGAATCCTGCAGGGTGTGGGTGTACTTGTTTATGTTACCTATTTAGAATCGTTTTTGGTGTGTGTGTGGGTGGGTGGGTGGATGTGTGTGTGTGTGTTTGGATTGTTTGAACAATCCACTGTTTTCTTTACTAATTCCTGCAGCTGCAGCCTGTGAAGCATGATCCAATGATCATGATGATGAAAAAAAATAAGATTAGCTGAGTAGCTGCTCAGTTCACTTTGAGTCATGGTCCATCTGTCCTTAACTTACAGAACAAAGCTACATTATTTTCTCTCAGAGTCAAAATATTGAATCCAAAGCCTTAATTTATGACACTGTATGAACTTGCAATTCTGAACATCTGCCATATTGAAAAAAAAAAAAATGGTATTGGTGTTATTCATATAATAAGAACCACACAAGATAGGGTGATGTCGGACATAGAGGCTGACATTTGCCTGCACTTGGAGAACTAAAGGGATGCATTCCTGGAGTCCACCACACCTGCAGTATTTGTCTAGAGCCAGTGTTTTAAATGTTTTACAACCCCGTTGATCTCTCTATGTCTCTATCGCTCTGAAATTCTGACACTTTCTGGAGACATTCCACTGCTTTGTACTTCTTCCAAGGATGAAGTTTCACCTAAATGCTAAGGTTTGTTGCCTAACCATTTCTGGAAATGTGCTGAGATGATGAAGATGATGATAATGATGTTCCAAGGCAGGGGAAAGTATAACATTTTTGGACATCCACCTCTGTCTAGACAGTTTAGAGAGAGATGGGTTATAGCAGACCATTATAAGCACAATATAATTACAGCAACTTATACTGCTTAGCAAAACAAACCAAGGGTCTAAGCAGGGTTTGTTTTGAAAAAAGAAATCAGCTTTTGATGTGGGGACTAGCTCACAGGCTGGTAGCTGAAGGAGAGGCTAGGACCTGACATGTTGCGACTGGTATAGTGGTAAACTGTTTGATGTTGGGCTGTACCCTCTCTCACTCTGCTTCCCTCCCTTTCAATTAATTCTATGGCCCCTCTATTCATTTCACTGCAGGCTATTACAAGCTAAAAATTTCTACCTTTGATACATTTCTTTTCATTCTTGTTCTTCCCTCATACTTTGGGAACCAAGCAAAGCAATAAAGACAAATCCGCTTATGGCAAATATAAATTAGTGTCTAATAAAGAAGCTATACTGTCCAACTGGAGGAACTGTGGACTGTCCTTTTTAAAGGGAATAATTTTTTTTATCTTTCTTAACCTTCTTCCCACCTATATTTGTTTAGAAAGCAAACAGCTTATTCATAATAACCAAATAAGAAATGATTAAATTAACACACAAAGAAAAAGTCCTATCTGGCCAGTATAAACCTGCCTCTGATTAACCATAGTATTAACAAAGATATTTAGCTGTATGTGCAGTTGTCATTGTTGACTTAACTCCATGTAGTTCCAGATTTTCTTATTTCAACCCGGTTGATCTGAGTGCCTTTTATTAAGTCTTAATTGAATGCTTTGATCAGTGAATTACCACTTAATTTTCAGACAGACACTCAGTGACACGTAGAATGACGAGAGGAAATTGAAAGGTAAGTCTTTGGTTTAATGAGAGGGCAAAGATTTTCACACTTATGAGGCGGCTTTTAGACTGGTTACCTATCCACCTCTTTATTTTTTTGGCTCTAATATCAAAGGTGATCTGTTTCTCGTAAAATTGTCACTTGGAGCCAAGAGGGTGATGTTACCATAAGACTGCCCCTAAGAAGTCTGTCCCGTAAACAACTTTAGAAGGCGACAGTGGTTTTGGCTCATTTTTATCAAAGTCTTCTCCACTGTACCTCCTATATCAAATTTCACTCTTTCTTCTGCGTTTGCCTTTCACATAATCACCTGCTTTAGTCAAGTCTCTCCCAACCATTATCTCTAGCCATCAATCATCTACTTCTGGTAATTTTAGCTTGGAAAAGAGACAATTTTATATCTCCATCACACTAACTGCTTTGTGTTTTATTGGCTTAGGAAGACACAACGCCTA